AAAACCCATTTAAGTGTAACTTATTTTGGACTTTCTTCGTAATTCGGCACAGTAATTCTATTTTTGTCGACTTATTCAGGTCTTGTTCGAGGTCACCACTTAGCCTTAATCTATAAAATAATAGGCCTAGATCTAAACGGTTGCCTATCAAGTCTAGCAGTTCAAACAGTCCAGTCAAATAATAGCCTGACAAGTTTGTTCCAAGATGGCAGCGCACAGTGTTATGGCAGGGATCAAAGTCCTCCCAACTCTCAGTGCACTTACAAGAAACAAGTTTGGGTATGCTCACCTTCGTTTTATTGGTTCTTTTGTAGCTTGTTGCTGATTTGTAAGTGGAGATAGTCTGAACCTGCACGTTTTCATATGTCTTACTGCTATTTTGTTATGACATAAATCTTCTAGATCTAGATTTTCTATCTATATTATAGTATAGATCTAGATCTAGATCTAGATATCTAGATTCTAGATCTCTAGTCAGATCTAGAATCTAGATCTAATCTAGATCTAGAAATCTAGATATAGAATCTAGATCTAATCTAGATTCTAGATCTAGAATCTAGATCTAGAATCTAGATCTAGATCTAGATCTAGAGATCTAGATATCTTATTATATAGATCTAGATGTCCTAGATCTAGATCTAGATATATAGATTTTAGATCTATAGATCTAGATTAGAATCTAGTCTAGATCTAGATATCTAGTCTATATATAGGCTAGATATAATAGATCTATGGCCACCTCTATTCTCACCCGGAGTGAGAATAGTGCAGGCGAGTCTTGTGGCTATTCTCACCCGGTGCGCGTTCACCAAATTTTGCGTTCACCCTAAACCACAGAATTCTACAAATGTGATAACAGAAAAATTGTAGAATTCTGTGCCGTGAACAAACGTTCCATTACAACTGTAGCCTACTAAAAGCGTACATTTTGTCTGTGGGCAGTGGAGAGAGAGAGAGAAAGAGAGAGAGGAGTAGCGCGAGAATTTCCGGGCAAAACAAAATGACGACCCGCGTAGTTCGGCTCGATTCGAAAATTTAATAGCCGTAGCATCTTTGTAGACAACCAAATTAATTTACTTTTGTGTTTTAACATCATATTTTAACTTTGTTTTGGTCAATTTGATCGTCCACACCGATAGACAGTATTCAGAAAGAGACAGAGAGAGAGAGAGAAGAGGGGAGGAGTTGATCTTGCGAGAACTTCTGGGCGGGTGAGAATAGCCACTTTCTAGATCTATATCTAGATCTAGAAATCTAGATAGATCTAAATCTAGTTCTAGTCAAGAGATCATCATCATAGATCTCTACGTCTAGATCTAGTAGACTATTTTACCATTGGACACATTTTAACCGAATGTAGACTTTGGAGAGATCCGAAGGAAATATTATAAATGCTAAAAATTGCAAGACATGTTTTCCGTCATTGGTCCCAATGGAATTTTGAATTTTATGAAGGCCATTGGCTTTTATGGCTTTATGGCAAATTATAAAGTGAAATTGAACTATTAAAATTTTTTATGTTATCTAGATTCTAGATATCTAATCTAGGAAAATTGTTTTAGATTGAAAATATATATATTTACACTGATTTTAAAACATTTTAACATTTTAAGATCTAACTACTGACCCGAGCCAGCTGCATAGTATACTGTTGTGAACAAAACTAACTTCTGTTTCGCGCGCTCATATTATGACCTTATTTATGCAGTTGCGAGCGCCGTAAAACCCCATACACTAAACAAAACAACACAAGCAACAAAGAAAGCACAAAAACCAAAATTTTAAAGCAGAATACAAAAATCTAATAGATAAATACCCTGGTGCGGAGCTCATCTTCACGGATGGCTCCAAAAAAGACAATAATGTGGGCGCCGCAGCCCTATCTTCCAACAGTACACACCAGAGGAGACTCCTTCCTGGAGCCTCCATTTTCTCTGCAGAGGCCACTGCCATTGACATGGCACTGGACTCCGTAGAAAATTCTCCCAACAAATCTTTCCTTATCCTTTCTGACTCTCTGTCTTGCATCACCTCACTCACAAACTACACACTCCTACACCCAAAAATAGTAAGGCTACAACAGAAAATTCACACCCTATCTGAAACAGGAAAAAATATCATGTTCGCATGGATACCTAGCCATGTGGGCATCCGAGGAAACGAGCAGGTAGACGACCTGGCGAAGAAATCCTCATCCCTTCTGTTGGGATCAACGACGAACACTCCCACACTGACTTTAAAAAAAATAAAGTCAAAAAGTTCACCTCCAGTCTGTGGGAGAGCCACAGGAAAAAACAGAAAAATAACAAACTGTAAAAAAACCCAAACTGGAACCACGAAATCCTTCGGACCTCTCCAGATGAGACGAAGTCATTTTTACTCAATTGCGCATCGGACACACGGCCCTGACCCACAAATACCTCCTACAGGGAGATGAGAAGCCTTTTTGTGTCGGATGCGACACAGATTTTACCATTAGACACATCTTAACCGAATGTCTAGACTTTGGAGAGATCTGAAGGAAATACTTCAAATGCGAGAAATTGCAAGACATTTTTTCCGTCGTTGGTCCCAACAGAATCTTGGATTTTATGAAGGCCATTGGCCTTTATGGAAAATTATAAAATGAAACAATATTGTTAAAAATTTTATTCTTATTTATTAGAGTTGTTTTAAATTGAAAATATATTTACACCGAATTAATATCTTGACATTTTAAAGACTAATAGTTGACCAACTCAACTGTGCAGTGAACTGTTGCGAATGCAACCAACTTGTGTTTCGCTCGCTCATATGACCTTATGCAGTTGCGAGTGCCGTAAAACCCCATACTAAACAAACGAACTAAACAAAAATTTCTGTTTTTGCAGCTGTTGTAGCTCATGTTCTGAGCCACTATTAAGTTGCTGATAGGATGGCATTCCTCTGCCAAGTAAATCTGTTTCTGCCACATCCTTTTTCATAGCAGGTTTGACAGTTTCTTCAATGCTTTTCTACAATTTATACTAGCAAAGTCATCTGCAAAAAACCAACTCCACCCCACATTCCCCTCTTGAAATATAGCATTGGTTGGTTGAAACAATTTGAAATATGGCAGTGAAACCCCCAAAAATAAACAAAAAAACACACTAAAAAAACACTCAACAAACAGAAAAAAACGCATCAAAAACCCTTCCTAGCATTAATAAAGGCTGGATACAAATTATTCAAGCCCTTTTGATTCTGGTCAAGGAAACTGTGGGGGGGGTGGTAAGTATTTATTCAGCAACATGCTAAATCAGGATTGTGTTGAAAACCTTTTTGCAACTATCAAAGGAAAAAGCAGTCACAGAGACAATCCTTCCCCTACCCCCAAGATTTTTGCACACATGATTTTTGCCTAATAATGGTAAATAAAGTCCTCTGACCAGTCCTGGTTTGAATTTAACTGTAAAGATGACATTGACCACTTCCTTGCAGTTTTGCTTCCTGGTAGTAGATCTATAAGCCTATAATCAAACATTGCACCACCTATGTGCTCAGAATATAAAGTCCAAAAAGAGGAGCAGCCACAAATGACTAACCTCATCAAGTCACTGAAAGCAGAGTACCTGGTGCAGTTTGAAAATGTTGTCACATACAGCAGTGGGTACTTTCTTAGGAAAATGTCTCCAGTCATATGTGACAAGTCTAAGACTTTGAGAAAAAGGAAAATCTAGAATCTATATGCCCCACAAAAATGAAAGCCATACATGCATGTATTATAGTTCCTTCTGCTTGTACGCCTGGTCAGAAGCTGTGGGACTGTTTGAAGCTATTCAAGCTTCTTTAATTGAGGAAAGGAAACTTAATATTGTGTCGTTGGGGGCTTAAGAACACGTTATTTTTAAATAAAGAAACGATAAACACCAGACAACATTTAAAAACTAAGCTACTGCCCCCCCCCCCCCCCCAAACAACCCACCCCATGCAGTCAGCGCTTGAAAAGGTAAGACTGCCACTGCTAGAGTCCAGTAGCCTAACTGCTGTTGACTGCACTGCCAGATTAATGATCATGAACTGAAGTTAAGAAACAATGGCACTCCTGTACGATAGCAGTCCCGTTTGCACTAAATGGGAAAATCACTCTAGGCCTAATTGCCCCTGTAGTAATTTTTACGTGTTTCTTATTTAGATCTATATCTAGATCTAGGCCTAGATTATAGATATCTAGATCTAGAGATCTAGATTCTAGTTCTAGATCCCAGACTTTAGATCTAGATATAGGCTACTTTTATTCATTAAAAAATTCTCTCTCTCTCTCTCATCCTCTCTCTCTCTCATCCTCTCTCTCTCTCTCATCCTCTCTCTCTCTCTCTCTCTCTCTCTCATCCTCTCTCTCTCTCTCTCTCTCTTTCTCTCTCTCGCGCTCTTCTCTCTCTCTCAAATATATTAATTTTAGTAGGCCTAGGCAAGACATATCGCCCGAGATGATCAGTAGCCTTGCATTGTAACCAATGTAAACTATCGCCAGTCCAGCGAGTTATAAGCGCAGCAGGAAAAGTAGGAGGGCCTGCGCTTGTCACATGGCGTAAAGAAGAGTTGTCCCGTCTTCTTATTCCGTCTTGTCCCGTCTTCTTAATTAATCCGTCTTGGCTTGGAATTGTCACTTCGATAAAATTATAATCATTGGGCCTACCGATGACGAGTGCGAGTACCTCTTTTTCGGGAAAATCCGTAAAAATTCTCGCGTCAAAGCAAGTATGACAACCCGATTTGGTCATAATATAAGTTTTGCTTTTTTTGACAACCGTTTACGCATTTTAAAATAATTTCCTCCACGATTTGAAATGCCGATTTTTAATTAATATGTTGATACACCTAATTTCATCTGTCACACCATATAACTTTTATTTTTGTTTTTTAAAAATTTGGGTCTAGAGTATAGATCTAGATCTAGACCTAGATCTAGTCTAGATCTAGATCTAGATCTACCTTTTTCTTTCTTCCACAAGAACTAGAAGGGGAGTATACTCTCTACCTAATGAGTCCCAGGATTTGATTTTGGTACTGGGATTTGGGAGTACATGGGATCTACTGGATTTGGTACTGGGATTTGCTGATACTCGTTTCCGGCAAATTTGCCCACCACCAGCTCGTCATTTGTGACCACAGAAGAATTCTGTGTTTGTGACCAACGCCCTCTAAGTCTCCGCTATCTTTCGTTCGAACTCGTCATTTCTCGGAGATTTACGGAAGATTCTGAGGACTTCCCGCAAGGCGAGGCAAGCAGTTGATTCAGTTTGGCACCATTCTTTCCTTCTTCAGCGTCGTTTTCGTAGAGGTAGGTGTTTTGTGGTGTTTTCCAAATCTGTTTTGTTATAAGACGTTTACGTAAACACCAACGTCGGAATCCGTTACTAATTACCCAATTACACGCATTTTTTGTCATTTGTATTTACTTTGTATTGAATAAAAGACTGCAACACCACATGTAAGAAGTAAACAAATGACGTTAGGGACAAAAATAGTACATTCTGTTATGATTGTTTTTGTTGTATGCCGATGGATGCTTCGAGTCGCCCAGATCGGTGCGGATGGTGGTTCCGTAGTCTAACAGACTGTTCCGACGCTTGTTATAAGTCTTTCTAATGGGTTTTTGGTGCTTTATTTCTGGTTTGTCAGTATCGTGTGGCATGGATTTTGTACTAAATATCTACATAAACTTCTCACTGGGAGATAGAGAATCTCTAGTCTAGTCTCTAGAATTTAGATTTTTTAAAAATTCTAGTAGTAATTTGCATGCTGAACACGATTATAATGGCCTTCATTTTTGTCGCAAATCAATAGTTATTAAGTTATTGATGTTTGAAAATAGTAAATTTAACTATATTATGGGGAATTTCCGCCCGGACCTAAAAAGATTTTGAGGGGGTTTCAGGGGGGCATGCCCCCCTGCATTTCACAATGATTTGATGTTTTGGCAATTAGGATTGATATTTACTTGAAAACAATTGATTTGCAATGGTTTTAGTGGTCATATGTGTGTTCTGCAGCTAAAACTATGGCAGTTTAGCCCTCAAATCAATGCATCTTGTGTGGGTGCATAAGTAAAACGAAGTGACTATTTCTCCGAACGTTCGGAGAAATAGTGCCGATCTTTATTTCTCCGAACGGTTTTCGGCTTCCGGTCTCGTGATTTTTTGCCTATTTATTGCGAGAGTTCGGCGCCAACTTTCATTCTGCCTCTGGTCTGGGAAGGAACACGTACCGCATGGCAAACCCGCCTACAGACAACCTTCAGTAACACCCACCACACACCCACCACCATCATGCACATGTACACACACTAACTAAACATAACTAGTGGGCAACTTTTGAACGTATGACGAGCTGAACTGTGGATGGAGAGACAGTGTGAGTGAAAGAGCGGGTGAAAGGAAGAATGTGCGAGTGTATCCACAGGCGACAGCAACTACAAGACGACGACACTGACCACCCCTGGCCTGGTCCACAGCTCACGAACAAAAGGAATGCAGCTCAGGCGGTGTTTTGCCTATATTATTGTCCATGGTTCGCAGGGAACAAGTGAGATTTTCTTTGTGTGTGCCTGGAGGGATGGGGTGGGGTATGAGAGTCATGCGGACGGGGATGAGCCGCGGGAGAGAACACGGGAATTGAATGAAAGAGTGAAACTGAAAGAGACGAATGACTCATGAGTCCTGGAGTGAATGGATCCTGTGTTTCTATTTTTGTATACTTTGAACTGTTACTAAATAAAGGCTGAAATAAAGCCCGAAAAACAAACACACACACACACTCCTCACTCTCCACTTACTACCACACACAGACACACTCAAACACTCACACATACATACACACACACACACACAGGAGCAAATTTTTGGTTCTATATCTATTTCAATTTTTAACAGCTAGTCTAGATGAGATTTTTAGATGGGTGTAAAAACGTGAAAAAGAAAGGTTTCACAACAGAAAGAAATCAAAATTAGAACAGCCCATAAACAACAACAAACATTAATAAATAAGGGCGTGTGTCCACCTGTCCGAAGAAGATTGGCAGTTTTAACCCTAAATGTGCGTAATTTAAAAACAAGTACAGGATATTACATGTAAATTATGGAATCACACACATTAAGGGGCTTGCCAGTGTCAGTGCAGCAGTGACAAACGCAGATGCCAGTTCTATGTGTCGTTATCAATAACCCTCCGTAGATCTAGATCTAGACAGCACATGAGTGAACACAACACATTACGTTTAAAAGCAGCACCCTTCATAGGCAACACGTCATATCTATAGCGAAAAACTGTTTGGAATTGTAGCATTTCTTTATATAAATATTTACGGCAGACATTTTTTGGACCGATTGAACCATATTGTATACGAACAATCTTTGGTAGGCCCATACTATAATTATAGATCTATATAATATCCTAAATTTGCGAGAAAGGATGGTATTTCAGAGTGTTCGGAGAAATAGTGCCCAGCTTTATTTTCCTGAACGTTCGGAGAAATAGTGCCCAGCTTTATTTTCCCGAACGTTCGGAGAAATAGTGCCCAGCCTTATTTTCCCGAACGTTCGGAGAAATAGTGCCGGCCTAAGTAAAAAGGCTGCTCTTATTGGCCCACATGGGCAAATAAGCTGGGGCTTATTGGCCCACATGGGCCATTTTATGCGTTGTTTTTCAAAGTATTTCATACATGGTATTGTCCCAACTTGTTCTCTAACTTCTTAGCTATTGTTCATCTTTTTATTTTTAGCATTAGATTGGAAAACTATACATTCTCAATTGAAAATATGTGATTGATGGACTAATTTGTTGAGCTATTTTTGAAGATCAGAGGACTTTTCGTTCTTTCTCTAGCTTTAATAGTTTTTGATTGTTAAGATTAAATAAGAAATAAGAAATATGGCTATTACTATTAGCATTCTGTATCCTTAATAACACAAATGAGTTTTTGTTATCTTTTGGGATCTTGTTGGTTTGGAAGTCATTCAAGATCTAGATCTATACTTCCTTAATATTATAGTAGAAATTGACTTACTTTCTGGTATAAAATATAATATTGACTTAAGCCTTAGAGAAGTGTATAATTATAATATAAAATAATTTCTCTGATATTTAATGGGGATTTTGCTGTTGCATTTTCATTTAAAATTATCATTTGTGGATTGGGGGGGGGGGGAATTTTATATATGCCCCTGTGGCCCAATAAGCACACCTTAGATTTAGACCCTAGATCTAGAATAAGATTTTTTGGCGTTTAAGACTAGATCTATGTGTAAGTAAGAACACCTGATTTAGAACTGATCCAGATGATGCAGCTAATAAATGTTTTAAGAATCGTATGTTTTTGTAGACAATATTTTGAATGCCTTTCAATTTTTCAATTCTCAACAACAGCCAACATCATTGAAAATGTCATCAAAAACTGCTAAATACCGTGAAAAAATGAAAAGGGAGGATCCTGAGAAGTGGGCCGCATATCGTGAAAAGCAGCGAAAGGATGCAAAGGAGAGAAGGGATGCCAAGAAGCTGAAGTGGGAGACGCAGCCCCACACAAAAGATATGGTAGCAGAAAAGAAGAGAGAGCAGGAAAACGCAAGGTAGGCTCATTGATGGATTGTTATTTTGGAAGCAATTTTCTTTTTCATTTCTAGTGTTTGGGTTCCCTGCCTTTGGGCTGCAGCATCATCAAACTGAAATGTGGGACGTAGGTGTATGCAGGATGAAAAATAAAATGTTTAATGTATTATTTATCTTTGCTTTTGACTCTTTGGAAGCTACTGCTGGCAATTTTCAGTCAAGTAATTAACTGTTCATTGTTGCATTCCCAGACTCAGATGGAGACGCCTGCAGGAGAGGAGGAGGGGTGAAGGTAGTGGAGTCTTAAAAATTGAACAATCTTCCCCTACTCATAACGGGTGCCCAGAAAAGAGACCGAAGGAAATGACAGAGGAAGAGAGGCGGGCACACAGAGGAGAATTGCGACGCCAGTCTCGGGCACGCCAGACTCCGCAGAAAAAGCGATGGGCAAAGGTAAAGAATGCTGAATATCAACGTAAATACAATGAGCGGCAAAGGGAGCTGAAAGGCCTACATGCTGCTAGACCATCATCACGTCCAGCACCTTCCCCTCCGCCTCTATCCCCAACGTCAGGCTCGCCCCTCCCTTCAATTTCTCCAGGATTACCCTTCCCTTCAACTTCTCCATGCCTACCTCTCCCTCCAACGCCTTCACTTCTGTCCCATGGTCCCTCACGTTTGTTTGATGCATTGGATTTATGGCGGATTTCATGGTAAGGGTGTGAGAGACAGCACAGGGTTTATTTTTTAAAATGAAATTCTCCTCTTTTGCTGTTTGGTTTTCAATTTGTGTTGGGTTTTTTTGTTTATGAGCCCAATAGACACGAGAATAAAATACAAGTGTTGACTTTGCTTATTTTGTTTGATGTTTTGCATAACAGTGTCACGGACGTAAGAGTTTAGGCTAAATGCGTTTCCCGATGTTTGCCAGTCTGACAATTTTCGTTTTAAATGGTATATCATGCTTGAAAAAACTGAACCAAAAAACAAGACAAATAAAACCCTGTCACACCAGGAGGCGTAAGGGGAGGGGCGGGTTCTACGGAAAGCGAGGGGTGGCGAACACCTCTCGCTTTCCCAGCCATACCACCCCCTCCCCTCCCCAAACAGCGCCATTGCTGGAAGTGTGAGGGTTTTTTAGGGCTTGTCAGCGTGCGGCACGCGGGCAGAAGTATCGCACGCTCAGTAAACAAGAGTTTGTGACGTCACGACACAAATCAGTAAGCCTGTCCGCCGTCCACGAGTAGCAACTCCGGTAGCGGGCAAAGGTCAAGCCTGCTCGCAAGCCTCTGGCACGAGCCGTCTGGTGCTCGCAAGCCTTCGCTTAATCGAGCAGACTCCAACCCTATGAATCATCCACCATTAGCACCAGAGGCACGACTGAAACGCTGCGGTCGCTCAAAGTGAATGAGGGAACAGCACAGGAATACTCAAGTGGAAAATAATGCAGTGGTGGTCCGAATGCACAGAGTTTACGAAGGGCGAAGGCAGGCACAGCAAAACAGGCATGGTCGACAAGGCCTTGCTCGCTCAGAGCGGACCACGGCTTTGATCCTCTTCCCGTGTGCGGACCCAGCAACACTCGACAATTTGAAAATGAAAGTCGTTCGAAGAAGCAAGGGAGAATGGAAGAAGGCTAAGGCTGGAAGAGGGTGGGAGGCGGTGAAAAAAAGAAGCAAAAGTTAAAAGGATAGGGGGTTGAAGTGGGCAAAATCATTCTTAAATTGCAAACTACATTCAGAGCGCCGTGAACGTAGCCTGCAAACTACATTCAGGGCACTGTGAACGAAGCCTGCAAACTACATTCAGGGCACTGTGAACGTGGTCACTGCATTTAAAAAACACTCGAATATGTCATGAGGGTTTAAATCTAAGTGTGCTTTCGCTTTTTGCAGAATGAAATGTGTTCTATCTTTAATGAGATGTGTGAATTAAGGTTCACTCATGAAAATCTATTTTTTATTCTTTAACTGAAAATGTGACATTTCATTTCTTTCATCATTTTAAAAATCCAAACAGGAATGTTGGGGTCAAGCAACTGTCGGGCAGGTGTTTCCATGCATCTGCAGTTTGTGCCAGGCCCGCCCATGACGCAAAGTTTGAGGGTGCAAAAGAGCGTCTCAACACTCTTTCAGAAGCTCCTGGAAACGATGTGAAGTTGAAGATGTACGCACTTTTCAAACAGGTATTGTCATTGCAAGTTGAAAAGACATATTGTTGTGCCGGAATTATGTTTTTTTCTTATTTTAGAGTGACGGCGGTGTTGTGGCAGGTGGTTGGAGGATGCCTTGGTGTGTCCCACTTTTTTTTTCCTTTCTCTTTATCGTCTCTGACTATCTTTTTTGCTCTATTTACTTGAATAAAATGATCAATACTATGTCAGTGTGCTTCTCTTTACTGAAAACAAAAATAACTTTAGCAATGTTGTGTTAAGTTTCTGAATTCGTCACATAGACTAGACGTCAGCAGACTTTGGAAGTGCAAAGACTCTATGAGTAATGTCTATCCCCTCTCCTGTTTTGTGTGTTAATCCACGCATAATCATAAACATTGAAAATAAATGCTCTCTTTTAAAATTTCTTCCGCAGAGCACAGGGTATGCATGTGAATCTGTATATAATTGATATGACAGTACTTCTGATAGAAGTATTTGTGTTATAACATCTACTTCTCTGTAACTACCTCGTCTTCAAATCTGGATTTGCCTTTGTGTACAGTGGAAACCATATTATATAACAGGCGGGGTTATAACAGGGATCCAGTAATAACAGATTTTTTTTAATTCTCGTTTTTTTCCTACTCTTTGTCTCTATTAAAAGTTATCGGCAATAACAGGGCCTCATCGGAGCCCAATCGGCTATAGCATGGACAAAGGCTCATTAGCAATGCGTAAAAAGTAAGAGAGAGAGAGAGAGTAACGCAGTGATGGAGTTAGCCCACACTAGCCATGGCACTGCAAGCACACGCAGCGGGTGAAGACAGAGATGGCTGCGATGTGCTGCAGACTTCGATCTAGCCCCAAGTCTAGCTACATGCGCGCGTAATGTGTCATGCGCAGGCCTGCTACATGGCAAAAACCCCTGTTCGTGGGTACTAGTGGCAAGGAAAACTACCCATGAATAAATACAGCTGGATTAGTCTACATATGCTTACTTCTCCTGCATTTCTGATTTAACAGGGATCGGATATAACACGGCTTTTTCTCTGGTCCCATTATCCCTGTTATATAGGGTTTCGACTGCATATTTTATGATTTCATCTCCCTATTAGAGAACTCCACTCTATTCCCAAGGTCTCAAAATTCTAGGAAGGATAAATGTATTTCGTGTGTGGTAAATCATTATAATTTAATGGAAGGTAGAAGGGTATCACTTGCAGGACTTACTTTTTTACACTTCCCCTGTTTCTGTCTGCTTGTCTTGCTTTTTTTCCCATTTTCTAAATGACTATTGTTGTATGGCAGTGCTTCTCTTTACTCTAACACATGTGCTGCAATACCACTTGACTAAATTGAACTAGGGACACGGATAGCACAAAAGTTTCCAAATCCCCCATACCTTTAAGTATCATTCTTTCTTTGTCCCGCAGTTTAGAAACTGAATTGATATAATAGATTTTTTTATAAATCAGTAATGTAACAGTTGGAAACTTGTTTATCAGTGGAATACAGTTGCTCTTCTTGAGAAATTTATTTTTACTTTTCAAATTTGTTACTCCGATCACTTTCTGTCTGTGTAGGCTACCAAAGGCAAGAACACCACACCCAAGCCCGGCATGATGGACATTGTGGGGAAGGCCAAGTGGTCGGCTTGGAGTGAGCTCGGGGATATGAGTCAGGTGAGTCCGTCTGCTATTTTGTTTTGTTTTATTCTTTTTTGTTTGTATGTTTGTCTTTTTGTCATTTTTGTTTCTTACGTAGTTTTAATTGTAGGTGTTTGGTACTCCCATTGACACAATCTAGATAGACCCAGCCTGTCAGGGCCACAACCCAGCCTGTCAGGGCCACAACCCAGCCTGTCAGGGCCACAACCCAGGCTGACAAGGGTGCAACATCCAAGTAGAAAGACCTAGATACTTGATAGAAATTCCTTTCAGCATGCGATGGTGAAGCACCTACGTGCTATACCACCACGGACATTGGTTTTATGTTTCCTGTCCCTTCCAATAGAACGGTTGAATCTCCAGTCGAACCTGTCCAAGATGAACACCTACTGTCGAGGAGGAAAGTGGCCATCTTGGATAAGTAGTCTTCTTGAACAGTGTTGTATAATGTAGAAAAATGGCAAAGGGGGGAGAAAGAAGAGGTCGTTTACACCAGGTGATTTTCTGGGACAGGTGATCATTAGAGCACTTTTGACTGTATTTCAAATATTATTTGCTAGACCTATGTCGACAGAAAATATTGAGCTAACAAAATCTACGTTTAAACCTGATCCCATCTTTTAGGATCAATTTCCTGATGTCTTGTGGGACGTTTATATAATCCAGATTGTTTTATTTTTTTCATTGGTTTTTTATCCTTGCATCCATATAGAATGTGTTTCTGTGCATTTTTAGGTTATTCATTCATCTATGGGTGTGCAGTGCAATTTTCTGCATATTTGTTTTATGCGACAGAATTTGTATGAAAACATGTATACGTCCTGTGGCGATTTTGGACCTTAAAAGGGAATGATCTGAACACCCACAGGAGTAGTTGATAAACAGACTATTGTAAAACTCATGGAAGGAGAAAAAACCAAATGAGGCGGTGCTGACATAAGACTAAGTGGGCTGCTTGCAAATAAAAAAAATAATTTGGCAGAGGCAAGTGCAGTCTCTGGGCCACTTGAGTAGGTGTAAACACCTCCAGCATCTTGCTCTCACTGGAGAAATTGAAAGTAAAAGAGGCATGGGTAGACCAAAAACAACCCACTAAGAGAACTTGAGCGGTTGGGAAAGACCAGGACAATAAGGTTTTCGTAGAGTGCGTCAGAGCAGAGAAATGCGTGGCAAATCATCAAGTCGCTGATGTTTGTTTCAGTTCTTGCACTTCATGATGATGATTAGACAGCAGACTTTTTGTCATGCGTGACTCTTTTATTGTGGGTGGTTGGTGGGTGCCACTGGCAGATCATCCATCTTTATTATCTATTTGTGAAGCATCGTGGTGAAATCAGGCGCTCGTCAAAATAATGGAATTTAAAAAACCGGCATTTTTCTGGGTGTTCGGCAAATTTTTTCTAATTTTCATATGTCCATTTTAAAATACATTTCTGTAAATGTTTCTGAAAAACGTTGATTAAAGGCACATTAAATGTAAATTTTCAGTTTCCAAGGACTCTCAAACTATAGACATCGCCAAACTTTGGCAGCTGTTTTCTTGCTAATTTTACTGCTCGAACCAGGTTTTCCCAATCTCCTGTATTGCGAATATATTGACTTCTATTCAAGATAGATGAGTATTTTTTAAATCAAAAGGTAGACAAATAAACAAGCTTTAAGGTGATGTCAATAACTCTGTATGCACAAAAGATTGATGAGCACCTGATTCCACTGTGTCGTGACACATTTGTTGCTTGTGCTGTTGGTTTTGCTTATTCCTTGCACTAAATATGACCCCTTTTTTTCTTGTTTTTCTTCTCTTTAATACAATTTGACACTTTCATTGAAACGTCTCGGCTTCCATTTTTATAGTTTTCCAGATTCACACCAATTTTTTTCCTGAAATTTTAAGTCTTTCATTGAAAATGTGATTAACATTTCTTTTTGATCACAGCCATGTCAATTTTTCAGAGGTTTGTTCTTACTCGACCCATTTTATGAAACTTTCCAACAACTCATGTGTATTTCTTAGGCAGTTTGTTTGCTCAAAATTTACGTTTTCCGTTGTGAATGTGATAACATGTCCCTGTTTACTAATTCTCAAAAGATCTTTAGATTTTCACCAACTCGTCATGCGTGTATTTGTTTATGCTGTTTGTTTTGGGGGTTTTGGTTTATTTTTAGCTGGACATTGACCTTCCATTGGGAATGTCAATAATGTCATATCACGTGTCACTTGCGCTTGTGCTCAAGAAAATAATTTACATTTTCACGAAGACTCAATATCCGTGTGGGTGGTTGGAGAGGCCCACTTGTAGGTCCTACTTCTTTTCTTTCCATCTGCTGTTTCTGTCTTCTGTCTGTCTGTCTGGCTTTTTCCCTGCACTAAATGACCGTTATTATAACGATAAGCTTCTGTTTACTCCAACTCATGTGTCTGTTTGTGCAGGATGATGCCCAGTTGGCTTACATCTCCATCGTGGATGAGCTTTTGGGAGCAGAGGCCGAAAGCGCGGCAGCTGCCGAGGATGCTGGGCCCGGAGTTCAGTACGAGGGACTGAAGATCATCAGGGAGGGCAAGATATTCAAGATCCAACTCAACAGACCCAAAAAATATAATGCTCTCACTCACGATGTAAGCTTTTGGTTTTTGTAGTGCGAAAGTTCAGTTGGTTGTTCTGTCATCACTTTAATTGATCAGGTTTCCAAGCAGTGGGCAGATGGTTGAAGTTTGTGGTAAAGAATTTCACCTTTTTATACTCACTCATGTAGAGTTTATGAGTTCTTAAAACATCACGCTCTGATCTGTAGTGTTGTGGTGAGGTAAAGGTTCTTCGTTGTTGCACATAGGAGATCTGAGTTTAATTCTGTAGAAGGGAGAATTGTTTTAGTATCTCAGTCTTTCTTGCTGGGGTGTTGTATCCCTCTCAGTCCGTGTTGACCTTAACAGGCAGGATGGGAAACTCACCTCCTAAAATGATCTAAATTATGTCTATAGGGATTGTAAAAGAATATGTGTTAAAATAAAAATAACATTTAAGATACCACTTATATTGATCTGTCAGGAAGTTTGATCTTCAGGGCTATTCACGTATAATGAAATATCAATGAAAACATTATCCGTAATGTCACAAAGGTAGAGACAGTCACATAAATAAGCCATAGCTGGTTTGGACCGTTTTGAAGTAGGTTATTATGTCATGCTAAAAGACATTCCCCACTAAAGGTGAACACATAAACACTGTGTCTCCAACATGTTTGGCATTATTGTGAGCCTTACCTTTCTGACCTCTTTGCAACTGAAGCCCCAATATGCATAGCAGGGCAGTGCTACTGACTGAAGTTATCTTTAGGCCATTCCCAGAGGGGGGATATTAACATGTTCTTATGCACAGTAGAATTGTAAATGGGATGATTTATCAATGTCATGCTCATGCTGTGCCAGAACATCAAGGGGGAACTGCTGCTTTCTCTTTCCACATCCTTACTATCGTCATTTTTCCTCCACTTCTTTTGTGTGTTTGTCACTCTCTTGTGAACTGCTATTTCCGGGGTGCCTTGATAGTTGAAGCGGACTTTGTGCTGTTGAGGCTAGAGTGGTGAGCAGAGTAAGCCTGATTCCCCGTTTGAACTTCTCTGTTGACATCCACCCCTAAGCGCGCATATGACCTTATGCAGTTGCAACGCAGTAAGACCTTACTAAAACTAAAAACTATTACATTCATGAGCTCACCCACACACACTCATACTCATAACACACAAACACTCTCTTACTCGCACTCTCACACACACACACATGCACACTCACACACACACACACACACACACACACACACACACACACTCACTCACTCACTCACTCACTCACATTTATAAGCCTTTGTGTACAAGTTCACTAGAAAGTACACAAACACACACAAGTGCGCACACACACACAAACACCCGCACGCACACACCTATTAAAGATGAAAGTGATTATGTGTCTTCAGATGTATCGGGGCATCGCTGCAGCCCTGGCTGAGGCAGCAGAAGACAAGGCCTGCAGTGTTGCTGTGCTCACTGGTAAGTCTGTCTGGCTGTTTGTGGGTCTGTTTGTCAGTATGTATGTCTGACTCTGTCTGTCTGTTTATCTGTCTGTCTGTGTGTCTCTCTCTCTCTCTCTCTCTCTCTCTCTCTCTCTCTCTCTCTCTCTCTCT